TGATAACTAAGTTGAGCACGAAGCTCCTATCTAATGGCAGACGTGCCAGTCTTATATAGAACCTTCGTTCTCTCGATGTTCGCTCGTTCGACAATCGAACTGGCTAACTTCGCCTGTTCGCCCGGCTAACTGGCGAACTCCTAATATCACGTGATAACAATACAGAGAAATCCCTGGATCGCTTAGCTACTCCAAACAATCCCTATTTGCTATAAGAAACCTGGATGTGCCTTTCGAGGGTTGCGCCTCTTATTATGACAAGTATCACGTGAACACGTGATTCGTGACACTTATATCTATTAAGTATATACGCCACTAAAATCTACGGTTATATTTATATATATTTATACTTTACTAGCTATAGATACTATAAAAGTATAGTAAGAATACTTAAATATAACTATAATCTTTAGATTACTTATATCTAGCTTATATATCTTTTATATATAGTTCTAGCTTAATATATAAGCGCGAGAGTAGTATATATAAGTAGCGGTTAGCTTTAGTATTCGTAGCCTATATACTTAGTACCTTAGCGCTTCTACTACTAGCCTAGTCATAATTATACTATATAGATATCTACCTATTTTATTCTAGCTATATTAATCCTAAGAATATAGTAAGAATATTTAAATATAACTAAACCTTTTAAATTCTTTATACTCTAGTTATATATATTTTAGATATAAATCTAGCTTAATATAAGCGCGAGGGTATAGTACGTACTTTAGTGTTCCTACGTAGATATATAGATACCTAAGTACCTTATAGATATAAGATACTAAAACTACTACTATTATAACTATACGCTACTTCTAACCTATCTTGTTCTAGCTATAGATATTATAGAAGCATAGGAAGAACATAGAATTATAGCTATAACTCTTAGATATCCTATACTCTAATTATATACGTTTTAACTACGATTCTAGCTCGATACGGGCGCGGGAGTAGTAGTTATAGTAGTCGTGGTTTTAGTGTTCCTGCCCCTGTATGCTGACTAAGCTAAGCGAGTCCAGAACATCCCTGTCGCACTTTTTTGCCGAATTTACATTAGTTATATCGATTACAGGGGGTTTCTAACTAATTAGACGCTACGTACGGGATATAAAATTCCTAGAAATATTTTGCGCCTAGGCAGCCCTTATTCCCTAACCCCGAACCACTATAAAAAGTTAGCTACGCTAACGAATTATAAAATATAATAGCTAACTATAATATCCGGCTCTATGTAACGGAACGGTGAAGGATACTGCTATTCCACTACTTAGAATCTAAAGCTAAGGAGAGAAGAGCTATCTGAGGAGAAAACCCGAGGTTCTTATGCCAGAAACACCACACACCCAACAGCTCCTTATCCCCCGCGTCTCCCACATCCCTTATCACGCCACGATGAGGGATTTGATGTGTTGTCGTGTTTGCTTAAAGAGTTTTCTGAGGGAGTTGTGTGTTGGCATGTTTGCTTGAAGAGTTTTCCTTCATTGTTTGTTTGCTTGAAGCGTGGTGTCACGAATCACGTGCGCAGCACGTTGAGGAGTGAAGTCCAGGCGGCGCCCTGACAGGACGAGCACATCACGGACCCTTATAGCGAATAGGGATCGGTTAGACTAGCTAAGCGATCCAGGGATTTCATTTGGTTGTAATCACGTGATGGACCCCAGAGGATCCAGGAGGGATCCAAAAGGATCCATGGATCCAGTTGGATCCACGAACATGAAGGTTCTATATAACACTGGCACGTCTGCCATTAGATAGAAGCTTCGTGCTCAACTTAGTTATCAATCTTATCATATTAGTTTGACATCTTTGATACAAGTAACGAGTTCACTTCCAAGTGAACAACCCGATAGTCTTCTTCTTATCATAGCATACCAACCAGCGAACACCCAGCCAAGTTTAGTTAGCCAGTTTGAGTATTCGTTACACGTGGGACATGCATGCTCGCTTAGGCAGCCACTTGTCCCGCGGTCACGAGGAAGACTAACCGAATCGCGACATTCGACCCGTGACAAAGGTTAAAGAATTTAAAGAGTTAAAGGAGAAAGAGAAGATAAAAGAAGTATAATTACTCGGGTAAGTACTTAGTTAAATAGAACTAACTAAATCGTAGTATAGTACTTTATACTAAAAATTAGTAGTTTAGATAGATTTTATAAAAATCGATAAATATATAATAAAACGAAAAAAGACTTTTATATTAACTAAATAATAGTATATTTATTTCGTTATAATAGTTTAATTTATATATAATTTAGAAAACTTTTATATAAGCTCTTAGAGTTCTTTAGCTAAATATACCTTTAAACAAATAAGCTTTAGTTTCTAAAAAAGTAATAAACTAGTTAGATTATTTAAAATTAATTATACTTATTAGATTATTTATATAGTTCTTAGTTAATAGTTAGTATATCTTTCTACTATACTTAGTTACTTATAGTTAGCGGAAGTAAATATAACGCGGAAGTAAGTATAATATAAGGGGTTAGGGTTATTATATTATAGTTATAGATATATAAGCTTTTATATAAGCTTTTATATAAGCTAGATATAACTATAACGTATTATAATATAATAGATAAGAAAGGAAAGTA